CCATAAAAACATCTGAAAATGATTTTTTTTGTGGAAAGGAGAAATTTTAAACTTTTAGAAACTATTTACCTATTTTGCGGATGTGTATGAGTGCTTTACTTGCTTGTGTGTCTGTGCACAGTGTGAGGATATCCGGTGCTCAGAGGCCAGACTAGGGCATCTGTTCCTCTGGAACCTGTTAAAGAAGGTCGTGAAGGACCATGTGGGTGCTGGGACAGTGCTCACAACTGCTGGGCCATCTCTCCTGCCCTAGAGGAGGGGTTTTAAAAACTCTTTCAATATCTATAGCTTGTGGTAGATTCCGTTCTGTGTTTTATTGTCCAGAATCTAAACCACCTTCCTGTTTGGGGAATTCCTTACTTTATGACTCTTGGCCCAAAGCAGAGCCTGTGTTCCATTACAATGAATGAGGAAACACTGTTGTCTGCCAGCCTGAGTGTATAAGACACGGGAATGTTCTGTCGGTTTAACTAATGAGATTTTCTCATGTACAATTTTAAGGTTGGAACCTAATAACAGAGATTCAAGGACACTGTAGATTCTTGGGCTTTGTTTCATTTTTATGTAGGATGATGTGATAAGAAATAGCATATGAGACAGCAGTGGCTAGTGGCTGTCATCCAGTTATGACATCATTTTGCTTCTACAATTAAAAAATCAACCACTCCATCCATAAGCGCACACGCCGTTTCGTCTGTTTGCGTATATGTCCATAAGGGAGGCTGACGGAGGTCTTCACTCATTTTTATCCGGCCATGACGGAATGTCACAGCCTGGGTGGCTTAGAACTCAGACAAGTTTATCTGGCTTGTGGTTTTTGAGGCTGAAAAGTCCAGGAACGGGACACAAGTATCTGGCAAGAATCTTCATGTTGCATCATAACTGGGCAGAGGGACAATTAAGGACATGTAAGGCAGACGTAGAAGAGGCTGACCTCCCCCTTAGCATCAGAGAGCCACCCTCGGGGTAACTCCCTACCCCTGATAGAGCAACATCAGCGTGGGTCAAGGGCAGGGCCAACAGAAGAGGCAGGACCAGTACCGGGTACACTGTTCACACTTTCCTGTAGGGAAAAAGTGGTTCATAGACTGGCTGCGGTCTATGAACAAAAAGTACACCTTTGCTGGCTGTTTGAAAACTTGTGTGATGTGGAGTAATTTCTCTGGAGAGCACAAAGTACTAAAGTTTACCTGGAAGCCCCTGGCCTCTACTCTAGTTAGGGTACCGAATAAGCTTCAATCAGCTGTCACTTCCTGGAGCCTCTCGTGTTTTTATGGGCCGCCTATGTGTGAACACCTTTTCCTTTTCCCAGATGAGAAGTACCCTACAGGAAAGTGTGAACCGGTACTGGTCCTGCCTCTTCTGTTGAAGCACCAATACTTGGGTTTGTTTCACAAACCTGGAAAAGAAACATGGAGAGTTCCTGGTCTGTGGGGTTCTGTTGTCCCTGCCCTTGACCAACGCTGATATTGCTCTATCAATACAGTGATGTGGGAGGTCCTGTCTATGTGTTGCTTTTATTGGTTAATGCATAAAGAAACTGCTTTATTTATAAATAAAGAATAAGACTAGTGCAGACCTTCACCTGAGCATCCCTACTCTGTTACCACACTAGAGAAACAGATCTGGGGACCAGCTGCTAAGAATTACATGTTTCCATGAGTTGAGTGGTATTTTCTGTATAATAACAATGTGTAAGCATGGGGTGGCAGATCACAAAGTGCTCATAAGGGCACAAAGAGGCTGAACAACAGGACCCCCCCCCCCCCCCCGCCGCCATCACGATCCCGTATATAAGCAAAGGCAGCTGAATCAAATAGCTCATGGCCTACCAGAAATCACAATATTTTAGAAAACCCAAGTGGTTCTCTGGGCTTAATTTCCAGTGAGCTATGGTGAGGTACCTAGGCCATCAACTCATAGATCAGTCTGGAGGCAGTGAGAGGCCGTATCAAACCATGAGACGTGAGCATGCGCAACAGCCCTATTGGGCTCGGGACTTAGTATATAGAGTATACACACACCTGTAACTTGAGCAAGGGGGCGACCAAGGCAGAAGAGTCTCAAAGTTAAGGCCTGACTGAGCTACATAGCAAGTTCTAAGACAGCCTGGGCTATAAAATGACACTATTTCTAAAAAGAAAAGAAAAGGGAAGGAAAGGGAAGGGAAGGGAAGAAAAAGAAAAAGAAATCAGATAAGGGAAGGGAAGAAAAAGAAAAAAAAAATCAGATAAGCAAACAAAGATCCCAGATCCCAGAAGATGGGAGAAAAAAGACTTGTAATTACCTGCAAAATCAAAATAACTTAGCTGCTTGGAATGATCTAAAGGTGAAAGGTAGTCATTCTTGGTTTCTCGTGGTTCATGCTCTCTGAGTTCTTTCCCTCAGGGTCTGTGTGGGAACTGGATCGGAACTCTATACTCGAAGGCTATGTTTCAGACATGCCATTCGCACGCTGCCTGAGTGCGTCCACACAAAACCAAATACCCCTATAAATACTCTACATAAAGCCAAAGGGAACCAAGGTTCCCCGTGTCTCCAAAGTCTGAGTGCTTGTACAGATGTGTCCAAATATGTAGCTGTAGATGTCAGCTTAGCCGACAAATCTCAGATAAGTACAGGACTTTTTATTTTTAGACGAGCTATTTTTAGCACAAAATTCTCCCAGTGTTCAGGAATAGATGGGGCAACTGCTTCACATTCTTGACCCTGGGAAGGGGCCGCACACTCTGAGAGTTCTTCGGAGAACTGTTTCCCTCCAGGCGTCTACGGTACCATTTCCCCTGTCACTTGAAACCTGTCACTCGTATAAGCAGCTGAGTTACAGCTGCCCCGGACAAGCAAAGTCATCTGAAAGCCAGGAGATGTCATGGGCTCACGGGCAGCTCAGCGCGCATGAGCACACCTGACAGCCGGAAGATATTCGCAGCCCGCCTAACCACGTCTGCCGCGTGCCAGTATCTGAAGCCACATCTTAACCTAGCAGGATACCAGATTCTGATTGGCTCTGGTGAGGGTCTCGAGCAGGTGACATTAGAGCAGCAGCTTATAAACAGGAGACTTCACGTGATGAGAGAGGAAGCAAAAGACCCAAGAGGGACTGAGTTGCCTCCCACCCAACGCCTTAACTAGCCACTCTTAGAGGAACAAGTGAACTACGCGAGGGCAGCGGTAGTCCCTTCCCGGTACGGGAGCTGTATGACCTAGTCACCTTACGTTAGGCCCCGCCTTTTATAGGTTCCATCACCACCATACTGGGAACAAAGGTTCCAACTCACAATCCTCATGGCGACCCAATCCAAACCTATCCAATGGCTCTTCAGTTTCTTTCTGCTATACAAGACGTGGGAAAATGTCTGTGAAGGCATCAGACATTAAAGCCCCTGGCCCCTTAATCTTGAACTCCCATTGGCGGCAAGGCTGAAAACAGCATCACGTGGTTGCTGAACTACCCGTGGTGAGGCATTTTACCATAGCAACCTGATGAGACAGTGACTGCTGGAGACAGGACTTGGCTCAGACCCTGGGAGATTGGTCATCTACCAGATCACCTCCCGGCTCTGTCCGTGCGGAGTGTCTGGTCCACACACCGCCTTCCTCATTGTCCCTGGATTGGTTACTTTTCTCACGCTGTGACAGAAACAATCTGAGGAATGGTTGGTTGTAGCACTCGGTGCAGGGGAGACAGTACACTCTGGTAGAAAGTCGTGGGTACTGAGGACACAGGACGGCTGGATGCATAGAAACGGAAGTAGAAGGGTAGTACTCTCAAGGGGTAGAGACTGGAATGACTCCGCCCACCCCGTGACCTTCTTCCCACGTTCTGTAGCTGAAACTCATCTTCAAGAGACCCCATAACCTCTCAAAGTGCTGCTAACAATTGGGGATCAGGTGTTCTGAACCCTTGAACAGGTGGGGAAAGCGTCACAGCCAAACCGCGACTTCTCACTTCAGTCAAAGGCAACTCTGTCAGAAGTGGGCGGGGCACAGTGGTGGCAGCGTTAGTCCCAGCACTAAGGAGGGAGGGCAGGCCTGTCTCTGCGATTTTGAGGCCAGTCAGGACTACATCATGAGATCCTGTTTCGGGCGAGGGGTGGGGGTGGGAGGCTGCTGCCGGAGCCCTGATCCTCTCCCACCTTCATTGGCTTCATGTCCACAGAAACTCTACTGAAGCTGCTCCAGAAAACATCTGCCATCTTCATAGTTCCACCCTGGCTGGGTCACCAGCCATCCCCTGTGGTGGTCCTTGGTTAGGCTCTCAGTTTCTAAGCTTGCTTCCTGCAGTCTGCCTTAGCACGCAGGCCAGAAGGAGTCTCATAGGACCCGTCAGGTCTTGTTACTCGCCTGCTTTGGCCCCTATGGGAGCGCGGCACTCCACACAGCTGAGCGGAGCGTTCTGTTCGCTCTGTGTGTTCTGTTCTCTCCCCTACCTGCAAGGTCCTTGTGACCCCCCCAGAGGCTCACTGCCTCTCTCCCCTCTCCCGGCACCCTTGCTCCGGCCCCACTGTCCCTGCCTGCCTCGCTGTCCTCCGCCTACCAGGTGTCCCACTCTTTTGCCCCTTCCCACTGGCGCCTCTTCTGATTGTCCTTCTCAGAGTTCACCCTATGCCCCCCCCACCCCGAGTTCTTGGGAATCCTCTGCTCTGTTGCATCTCTTTCCGATCTGCATGCAGTTCCTGCTTTTAGCAGCGACCATCACGTCTGTCTCGTCCCTCACCCTTTGGGAGCTCCAGGAAGACCAGGGGATGTCATGTTTGTTCACTAATGTCCCCAACGCCAACGCTGAGTCCAGAGTCTGCCACATCACAGGACACTCAGTTAATGTATTTGCAATGAATCTAGTCGATGGGCAGAAGAAGCTCGTTCTAATTCTGGTGGTGATGACAGCAGTCAGCATTTACTTGACACCTACAGTATGCCAGGCGCGGCCTACCACATCATCTCATTGGATCTACGAAACAGCCAAGCGGCGTAAACACATATATTTCCCTATCTTCCAGGTGGGAACTCTGAGCGGCATGAAAGTTTCTGTAGTATGTCCTACCTCGCATGATTGGAAGTTGGCGGAGCCAAGATTTGAACCCAAGCTATACGCTCAACTTCTCAATCATCTCTGAAGTTGTTAGAGTTGATGAATTCACGTGGTGTTGGAGGGCGACTGGTCAGTGTAAGAGGAGTTTTGGAGATGGGTGAGTTCATTCTCCTTATTCCAGAGAAACTCAGGGGGATATGCATAAAGAGCTGTCAAGCCCATCCTTGCTGTTTGCTTTTTGTCATTGTGGTCCTTAGGGGAGAGACTATAGCCTTACATTCTTTCTAGCAAGTTCTGTATCACCGAGAAACACCCTCAGCCTCTTTTAAATTTGTGATTTGAATGGTCTAGCTTAGTTACCCAGGCATGCCTCAGGCTGCCACTCCAAAAAGTGGGGTCCCAGGTGTGTGCCACTGTGCCTGGCTTGTGGCTTAGTCTTCATCGTCAGGCTGAATTATGTCTGCGAGACTCCTCAAGTACAATTCTGAGTGTGTCTGTGAAGGTTTCTACAGAGGTAAGATTGACATAGGAGCCACAACTGAGGGGGCAGATTGGCTCTGAGTGTGGGCGGCACATTCAACAGACGAAGGTCCTGGATAAGCCCAAAGTAGCTGTTAAGTTCTACTTCTGTTAGGAGCACTTTATGTTTGGTTCTCTCAATGAGGGAGCAAATACCTCATTCCCCAGCACAGAGTACCCCAGAGGTTGTTTGAAGAGCACAGCAAATAAGATACATTTACCCTGTGTCGTGGCACTGAGAAGCCACTCGGCTAAGTGGTACATTCCTAAGCAGTTACTTACATTAAGCTGCTCTTTTAACTCCGGTCCTGGAGACTTAGCTTCTTGACTTGAAAAACACCATTTTTTTTCTTTTTAAAGCCCTGATTGTAAGCCTTTCTGAGAACTGTCAGAAACCCATGTAGCACAAGTAAATACTGCGGGGGTTTCTCTCCACATCCAAAATAAGGACAATGCCAGAAAGATTAGTTACCTTACTAAACAAAGCAAGAACAGGACACATTTAACTTTGCCCGTGGAACAGCTTGACAGATTCTAAAAGGTTAGCGTTCCTAGATTAATGGTCCTAAAGTGACTTTTAAAGTGTCTAATTCCTCAAGTCCAGATAGAATCTAAGAACACATTCTTGTGGGTTTAAAGGAGAAACGCTTCTAGGCTAGGGAAATGGTTCGGCAGTGAAGAGCTACTCTTGCAGCTCTTGCAGGAGAGCCATGTTGGGTTGCCCACATCCAAGTGTAACTCCAGCTCCAGGGGATTCATCTGACGCCCTCTTCTGGCCTCCTCAGACACCTGCACTCATGTGCACATGTGCACATACATTTAAAAGTTAAAACACAATCTCGAAAAAGGAGAAATAAGTTCAAAGACAAAAAAGATACAAGGAGAGAGCATAGGCAGACAGAAGATGATGCATACAAGGAGGGGAGCGCGCAGGCACACGCTTGTGTGAACTCACACACACACACACACACACACATACACGCAGATGTAGAAGCTATCTGAGTTCTGCACACTCGTTCATCTGTTCCCACAGGCCTGCAGTAACCTGGGTCCCAGTCAGACCACAAGGAATCTCTTTGCTCAGGGAAGTGAACTACCAGAGAGTTCCACCCTAATGAAAGGGAAATGCTAAGTTTCCTGATCTGATGCACATATGTGCTGAAATACCACATCATAGCTATGCATGTGTACAGCTACTTCAGATGGTATTATGATAAAAGTTAACTTAGTTTTAGATATGTTATAGATTTGTTAGATTTGTTTTTCTGTTTGATTGATTGAGACTGGGCCTCACCCTGTAGTCTTGACTGGCCTGGAATTCACTATGTACACCAGGCTGGCCTCAGACTCAGTAGAAATCCACCTGCTTCTGCTTCCTGAGTGCTGAAGTTAAAGACATGCACCATCACCATTAGATATTGTGTGTGTGTCTGTGTGTGTGCACATGTGTGTGTGTGTGTGATGTTTGATTGCTGTGTACCTTGTGTACTGGCACACATGGCTGTCTGCACACTGGAGAAGCTGAAAACCTGGTAGCTACTCAGTTCATGAAACTGAGTACCTCAGCCAATCCCAGTCTTTGGCTGAATCCATGGAAGGTCTCTGGCCTTTAGTTCACATTGGAAGGCTGAACAGGCTGGATTCTGATGTCAGTAAAGGACATAAGCAGCAGGTTGGATATACTCACTAGCAACCATCAAAGGCAGGAGATGGGGGAGGCTAGAGTTTTTGCTTTTTGTTTTTTTTTTTTTCTGAGTTAAGGTTTCTCTGTGTAGCCCTGACCACCATGAATCTCATTCTGTAGACCAGGCTGGCTTTAAACTCACAGAGATCTGCCTGCATCTGCCTCCCCTGTCTGTGCTGGGATTAAAGGTGTGTGCCAACACTCAGCTAGGGGAGGCTAGATTTTAAAATTATTCATAGCTTGAAGTATTCCTAGGCAACACAATAGTTCTGTATTTGAGTCCCTCGCTATTCTGAATTTTCCCAGGAGCTAAAATCCTATACTTCTTGCTACAAATATGAGATTGGTGGCTCTTGTCAAACTTTGGCTGTTTCCCCCTCCATCTTAGGGGACACATTTGCTGGTCTTTGATTGTAGTGGTAGCAATATTAGTACTCCTTACCAAGTTCTCGTGGCTTTGTGTGGTCTCCAGGTGCCAAGAAGACTTAGCAGCTGTTACTGGAGGAAGTGGGCAGATAGCATGTGCCTTGCTGGTCAAATTTTATCTGTCTGTCCGTCTGTTTGTCCATCTATCCATCTATTATCTATCTATCTATCTATCTATCTATCTATCTATCTATCTATCTATCTATCTATTGTTAGAGTCTCTCTGTGTATCCCTGGCTAGCCTGGAACTCACAGAGATCCATGACTCCCATTTACCTTGCTGAGCAGAACATCAACCACGTCCCACTAGTTACCACACTGCCACATAGGGGACACTCAGGCAACTGTGCCATTTTGCAGTTCCTCCAGAAGCAAAGGTGGAAACACAGTCACCTTAGTCACAACGACTCTGCCTAGATAATGTGGGTAAATATCATTCTGGGAGTTTCTGTGTGGGTGTTCTGGGCTGTGATTAGTCAGTGGGTTTTTGATAAAGTAATTGGCCCTCCCTAATGTGGGCCTCACCAATCACTTGAAGCTTGAATAAAAGAAAAGAGTGGTCCCTGTCAAGCAAGAGGGAGTTCTCTACCTGACGGACTTCAAACTTGAACTGCGTGTTTGGTTTCTTCTTGGTGGTCCAGGTTGCTGGCATTATCCTGTAGATTGGGAATGTCCAACCTGGGTAACTGTGTGAGCCAATCATCTCCCAATCTTCCCCTCCCACACACGTGTAACTCCCACCCCTTTACCTAGCGAGAATGCATCCCAAGACCCCCATTTGGAGGCAGGAAACCTTGGAGAGTACCAAACACTAGTACCCATTCATGCTTCAGTACCTACAGGGGATTCCTTCCAGGACCCTCATGGACACCAAACCCTGCATATTCTGTGTCCTTGATATAAATGATGCCATTTACGGCTGTGGGATGTTTTTCTGTATGCTGTGAACATGCATTCCTCTCATTGGTTAATAATAAAAGCTGTTTGACCAATAGCCAGGCAGGATAAGTCTAGGCAGAACAATCAACCTGAGAACTCAGATGAGGAGGGGCAGAGTGTGTGTGGGGTGCCAACCAGCCACGGGAGCAGCAAGATATACTAGACCACAGGTAAAGCCACAGACTATGTGGCAATGCATAGACTAATAGAAACGAGTTACTTTCAGTTGTAAGAGGTAGTTAGTCATAAGCCTGAGTTATAGGCCAAGCATTTTGCAATTAATGGAAGTTTCTGTGTGATTATTTGGGACCATGAGGGCAGGACACGAAAGCTCCGCCTCCGATTACAATTTACATACAACCTATGTACATCTTCCTCTGTAGTTTAAATCACCTCTAAAATACTTTTAATGCTCAAAGTAAATTCTGTGTGAATAGTTGTTATATTATGTAGGAAATAGCGACAAGGAAAAAGTTCAGTACAGACATAATTTCCCCCCGAAATATTTTAAATCTCTAGTTGGTTGAACTTACGGATGTGGGACTCGTTAATATAAAGAGCTAATTGAAAAAGAAATGCCAGATGGTTTTATATGTGTGTATGTATATAATAAAGTTTAGTTTATATAAAAGCACAGTAAGGTATTAAGATAACAAACAGTCTAATTATAGTAAACTATAGTAGGAGTTATATGAATATGGTCTTTCTCTAAAAGTATCTTTCTATGGTGTGGTCACCATTTTCCTTCTGTTGATGCTGTGTGACAATGTAATACCTTCATCGTGAGGTAGAGCGAGGTGAATGATGGGGCTAGCGTGAGAAGCAGTTGGCTAGTCCATAAAATTGCTTGCCTGCAGCACTGTGACATTGGCTCTGACGACCGAGGTGGCTCATGTTAGACAGCTGGCCGGTGGATAGCACATACGCTATGGATACGCCAGACTGTGAGAGGATTCATCCTCTGGGCTAGATAGAGAGCAATGGCATGGGATCGCAGGCAGTGTACAATCTTAAACTTATGAATTACTTATTTCTGGAATTTTCCATTTAATATTTTTTGTACCATAGTTGACTTGTGGGTAAATCAATCTTTGGAAAAGGAGAATCAAATCATGAATAAGGGAGTCTGCTGTGTGCATATTTTTGGTTCTCTGGAAAATCTTGACAATTACAATGATATAAACCAATCTTATGTTTTTTTAAGACTTTGTAAATGGCAATTTGTAAGTGATACTGAAATAGACAATGTAATATAAACCCTCACATTCCAAGCACTTAGCTCCGATGATGATTAACCTGTGAACTTTAGTTTTTATGATATGTGTCTACCCACTTAATTACCTCCTGTATTATTTTTAAGACAACCCTAGACATTCCACTGTTTCATCCAGATGGATTTCAGCATGCATCTCTGGATGGTAATGACTCCAAAACATAACCAAAGGCCATTAGCACACTTAGTAGTAAAACCGATTTCCTAATATCATCAAAGATAAAGTCCTACCCAATTTTCTAGCACTTCCCTTTTGAAAATTGATCATTTTATGAGTCCTTTAAAATAGCAATGCAAACACAGTACACACTGTTTGGAAAATGCAGGAAAACTCACAGAATAGATATTAGAGTCGGCCACGACTGTTGGGGCTATCGCCAGCCTATATGGGGCCATTTCATAAACAGAGGAAAAGAAAAGGCTCGTTTCAGGAGGGCAGCCTGTGCCAAGATGCCTGCCACTACTCTTCTCTCCAGGGGATGCCCATGTGCTGTGCACAAATCGGGCATTGTATGCTCAATCCCCTGAGGCTTCCCGCAGTGTTTACATTTTGGAAAAAAGCCTTCCATATTTTCCACAGATATATACATAATTTTTGCATAATTGTTTTCATATGGGACTCTCAGTTTCACAAGCAGCTTTATCACACAACTTAATAGCTAACCTTAAACACTTTCCCATGTTGTGAAATTCGCTTCTCAAACACGACATTCTATGGCTACACAGGGTGTATTGTATGGCTGTCCTGTAGGGGCTGGGCAATGGCCAGTTGTTTAGATCGACTGTCCTTGGAAGATAGAACACAGGCGAGAACAGTATATCCTTCACGGTGGGAGCATGAAGACATGCAGGGACGTTTCTGTACATGCACCGTGTCATCATCAAGGCTGTAAATTGCTTCCCCATGGTTGGTTTGGAAAGACAGCTAGGGTATGGTTCTATTTAGTTCAGCCCATGCCTGGGGGCGGGGCAGGAAGGGCTGTCCCTCCTCATAGTAAACAAGCCTTAGCGAAGAGTTGTGGGGCAAGAGAAAGTGGAGCATAGCTACAGGCACACTTACTCTACAAGCAAGAGACTTGGGTTATAGAAACCAACCTCCACTGATGTGTGAGGCCGACAGAAGAAAACAAGCGTGTGTGTGTGTGCAGGTGCAGAGGTGGTGGCGGAGGGCTTTGTCCTGTGGACTGATCTTATTGGATGTTAGGACACAAACATGACCATTTCTAGATGTAAAAACCACCTAATGGCCTTGTAAGAAACACCATCACGTACTCAGGCGTTGCTTAATAGAATTCCCAGAAAATGGCCTGTGCACAATCCTTCTTCTCTTGAGAATCGGGATAAACAAGGAGGTCAATTGCAAAGCACCCATTTGCCCAAACCCACAGCCCACAGTCTGCCCAGATTGTGAGTGGGTGCTGTCTCTGCCAGCTCTTATCATCTGCACTGAGTGGACTCAGTTAACTAAATGACTCAGTTTAATGGAACCATGGAGACAGGGTGAGGTCACAGGGCAGATGGTAAGTAGGAATTCCTAACTCCAGAGGCTACTCAGAAGGGCAGTAGAATTTCAATGGTGTAAAGCCTCACTGTGTGAGAAGGCCACTTCCATGCGAGCCTGGGGACCACCTAAGGAAGAGTAAAGTGGAGATGTTCTGGGTTCTATCAGCTGCAAATTATAGAAGTGGATAAGGAGCCCATGTCATCGGTAGAGGTTTTTCTTAGGGTAAGAGGAGATGCGGAACATCGGGTCCCTTTTAAAGGTGACTTGTACACTAAACAGTACCTGGGACATAGCCCTGAATCCCCAGGCTGCCTCTCATCACGGCCCCCAAAACGTTTCTATCAGTTCCTCCCAGAATCCCAGGCTTTTATCAGGAGCATTATTGGGTGGCATATGAGGTTCCTAAGATTGTGGTCACACAATGTGGGGGGCACCAAACAACAGCCCCTTCTCTGGGTTCTTGGGGGTAGAAATGTGACATCAAGGCATTTGCAGGCAGCTCTAACTCGTACTTGAGGTGAGGAGGGTTTTGTTGTTTGGGCCCCGGTACCCGATCTCTGTCTCTTCACGCTCCTGACATCCTTCCGGATCAGGGCCCACGCTGATGACCTCATCTCAGCGTCACGATAGCCGCAGAAACTAGCAGTTACTGGTCGTGTTTGCGAGGGTTAGAGGTAGGGATTTCTTATATTTTGGGAGGTGACACAATGAAACATAGAGAGTAAATTTTTTTTGAATCGGTTAGGCACGATGGCATTTCTTTAATCCTAGCGCTGTGGAGGCAGAGACAGGCAGATCATTGTGAGTTTGAGGACAGCCTGGTCTACAGAGCAAGCTCCAGGTTGGCTAGGGCTACCTAGTGAGATCTTTTTTAAAAAAATGTGTGGGGAAACATCTGGAATCGTATATCCAAGTGTTTCACTGATGCTGTGTGTTTTCCATCCATTTATCAACACTGGACCCCAGGTCCCCTCCACTGTCCCCACAGGAAACTTCATGGTCTTCAGGTCCAGTGCTGTTCCCATCTACTTAGTCTCTGGAATACTGGGACTGACTGACTCAGTGGAAAGGCTTAGTCTGACTGAGAGTACCCTCCCTACTCTGAGAGCAGTGTAGGGGCCAGCCAGGAGGGGCTGTGTGAGAGAAGTTCCTAAAAAGACTTTTTTTTTTCCTGGCTTTGCTTTTGGATAAAAACTTTGGATTAGTACCCCAGGCTAACCCTGAACTCACTATACAGTCCTATACCCTCCTGCCTTAGTCCTGCAACACTGGAGTTAGAGGCAGACCCTGACATTGGCAATAGCTGATCTATAGACAGACCTAAGAACAGCCAGACCGATTGCCCAATTCTTTCTCCCAGCTCCCCAAGCTACCACACCCTGGGACGGTACTCTGAACAAGTCCCAAGGCCCAGTGCATACATTCAAGGGCTCTCACTATGGAGCTGGTATTGGCAGGTGGGGCCCCGTTGGCCCGGACTGAGCTTAGCTCCACTCGGCCCAGCTTCAATATTTGGACAGGCGCAAGGCATGTGTGCAGAGGCAGCAAGTGGGTTGAGAGGGTTTCGGCTCTGGGTGAGACTGAAGGGATTTGACATGTTATTGAATCTGGGTGCAGAAGGTGAACTCTGGGCCGCCACGCATCCCAGGAATGCGGATGTAGGCCTCTCAGTGCGTATCTGAAGCTGACAGGGGCTGACAGTCCCCATCTGGGAACAATAACCCAAACTGCACGCAGGGCCGGGCAGGGGCAGCACTCCCTCCAACCCTCCCCCGCCCCCGACTCTCCAACACAGTGAGAGGGAGCACAAGGAAGGAGCTTCGGCCTCTCCTGAATCCTGGGGACCGCTGAGCGGGGCAGCCTCTCGGATGCTTGCCATTCCAGGAGCAGCAGGCTGCGACATGGTCCATTTCTCCCCTGGGAGACCTGAGTGGAACGCCACAGGGAGGCAATTTGGGATGCCAACTGGTCACCCAGCTGGCTGAGGGTCTCCTCGCTTCAGGGAGGCTGGGGTAGCCGTGTATTTGTGTCACGGTGAATACCTTGGGCATTCTTTGTTCGCTTGGGGAGGGGCTTCCACAGTGAAGTTCAAAGCAGCCGTTCACAAACCACATATCCTAATCCTCTTTCAGATCTGGATTTTGTCGTAGTAACTAAACTGATTACAAGACTTCATGGTCTTCAGGTCCAATGCTGTTCCCATCTACTTAGTCTCTGGAATACTGGGACTGACTCCGTGGACTACTTGGGCTGGGCTGGGTCTTTGGGAGAGCCCTCCATTGGCTTCGCTGTCACGTGGTGCTCCGGCTGAGGACCTTCCCTCTGGAGCAGGAAGAAGCTTGGGACCGGAGTCATGCAATACCAGTTTACTTCGTTTCACCCTCGCTACGCACTGTGACGTCACTGATCTTCCCAAGCCCCGAATAGCGTCTCAGACCATACATTCGGATTCCGCCCTGTCCTACAGTACTGTCCTTAGTTCTATCCTTGTTGGGCTAACCGGAGCGCCCCACTCCTATTTTTTTGAACTCTGGCTCTCCCCATAGTGGCGGCTCCTCCAATGCCCATGATGTCCCAGTGACCAGGCTTCTGTCCCAGGACCCAGAATTCCATGCCTCTACTATCTATCCAGAAACCCTTTACAGGACACTACCACCACATGGCAGAGGTCCTTGTGTAGGCCCTGTGCCAGGCTCTTTGTGGCTCATGCAGAAGGCTTGGCTTTGAACTACCTGGCCTCTCTCGGTGTCAAAGTCTCAGGCTGTGGCCTATCCTCCGGCCAGTTCCTTCTCCATGTTACCTCACCACAGTTATAAAACTGAAAGCCACCACTGTCTTGGGAGTCTTCATCTTCGCTACTTAGTCAACGGGTTTGCTTATGATCTCTGTTAACCCTGTATGCATTTCCTGCTCCCAACATAGACTACCCTCTGCTTTCCCGGGGAAAGCATCAGCTTCCTGGGGGACCTCTCTGCCTTCACGCCCACCCCCATCTACAGCACATGCTCTCTAGTGGAGGCCAGAGTGATCTTGAATTTCTTCATTACGCATATCGGAGTAACTTCCACCGGATGTTCAGCCCTCAGCGTGAGGTCACAGACTGCTGGGGAGCCCCAGGCTTGGCCGGTTCTCATCCTCCCACTGTGAAGATGCAGTTCCTATACTCTCTCCTAGCCACTGATGGGCGCGGTCCTTGGGATGGTGACGAGTGAGCACTGTATTGGGCAGGCCAGATGTGGGACAAGTTCTTGCTGAATGAATAAAGGGTCTGACACACAGTGTCACTGCAAGGATAGAACCTAGGTCCTAAAGTCAGAGGCAAACGCGAGCGGTTCAGACAGGAAGTGCTCCGGCCACCAGCCACTAGGAGACTTCAGATTCTGCTCTGACGGTAGCACACACTTGGAAACATGCCAGCATGGCATTCTGCCAGGATGCCCCTAAGGGGACATGGTAGACCATTGTGGGGGATATATTTGATCATATTCACGCCCCATTACCCTCTTTTATCCCCTCTGACTTCGGATGAAGCCCCACTCCTCCCCAACAAGCCCTCTCACACTTTCGCGTCTTTTTTCTTTTCTTCTTTTTTGTGGCATGCTGAGTTTAATTAGGATTATTTGCTTGAATATGGGTGGGGGTGTATCTAGAGGAGCATGGGCAACCGCCAGTTAAAGAAAATAAGGGGAGATCTTCCGACGCTCTGTGGCAACATTTGAGCGACAGAAGGTAAGAAGCACATGGCTGTACAGGCATTTTTTTTTTTTTCTAGAGCGCGAAGGTTTAGATCAGAGCAGACTTGTTCAGGACGGTAACATGGCGCCCATACTGCTGCAGATAGTCCCCACCCCTCACTTCTCTCAAATCTCTCGGCACCTCCGTGTTTGCCCACCCTTCTCTGTTAGCACACGTGGCTGTGTGTCGGAGCTTGGATCACAGACATAGGGGCTTCTTAGGAAACTCTCCGGAGGATAAAGGGCGTGAACCTCTTCTGCATTCCCTTCACACGGCTTTCCTGCTTCCCAGAATGCGAATGGAGTGGGCAGAGCTCCTGACAGCCACACTGGCTCATGAGGCAACTTTGGAAGCTAAAAAGAAAGAAATTAAGATTGCAGATCAGAGAACTAAAAGGAGCTTCGTTCCCTGGTGAATTTATAGAGATACTCTGAATTCTTTGGGGGAGAACTGGGAGAATAAATCTCCCACTGAAGGTACCAGAGGTCGAATTATTGTACTAGCAGCTAAATACAGCTCCCAAATCTAGGGCCAAGGCGTAGCCTGCCTGGGTCCTCTATGTGCCAACAGCGGCGTCTGCTCCTGGTCCTCGGGCCAGGACTCTTGTCCCCCTCCCTTTTTCTCAGTTTTCATCTTCCCACGTTAGCTCAGTCAGGGCGCTCAATGTCCCCTGCGAGCGAGCCTCCCATGTTGACAAGATGTACCGAGCCCTGCCCAAACATCAGTTGGTACAGGGAGTTCAAAGCTAAGCAAGACCCTGCTAGTGCTGTGTTCTCGGATGCTCCTTCTCAGAAGTGTGGGCGCTTGTGCTTGGTCTGTAGCCTCTTCCTGGAATAAGGTAACGAAACATGGTTTTCTTGAAATTACACCCACAGACGCCAGCAGCATAGGATGTTCAGAGCGCTCTGGACAGCTCTCCCAGGGTCTGGGTAGCGCTCTTTCTTGGAGAGAACACCGGGCAGAAGAAGCAGGGGCCAGTTCCCACCGCCAACATTCTACTTCTGGCTGTGCCACGCGGCCTTCCATTGTGTGACCTTGTCTGTTGTCAATGGCTGTGGCCTCCAGAACGTGCTCCTGTAGAACTGGGCCCCTTCTTGGCGTCAGAGGCAGAAAAGGCACTCTCCTCACCCAATGTGGTTTGACCGAAGCACCTCAGCGGATCCGGACAGACCAATAGGAAGATGGCTCCACAGCTATCCAGACAGACCAATAGGAAGATGGCTTCACGGCTAGCGGGTGGGTCTAGGCCCAGCTATGCTCCACCGAATCCTCTTTTATAGTCTCTCTACCCACTCGCTGCATGTTCTCAGATGCTCAAGTGGAACCCATCTATCAGCCCACACTTAGGTTCAGATGCCTCTTGGCATCTCACTCAGATGCTCAATGCGTGTGCCGAGTTTACCAGATCCAAGTGGGACGTCCAAGGACCCCCACGTCTCCAGCTTTCTTGTCACTACCCTTGTCACCCACAGGAGAGCTGTCCATGACTTCTCTCGCTCATACTCAACATTAGACACTCAGGAAATCCGGTGGACTCAATCGTCACCATCTTTCCGGCATCTGAGTTATTTCCTCGTCATGGCACTGATCGCTCACACCCACTTTTGGGCTACAAGACCGTGTTGGTCTACAGTGCCGTGGCAGCTAGCATGAACACACGTGCAAAACCTAAGAGGGATTATGGGCTATGCCAGCTCTCTGCTTGGAACCTCCCCCAGGCTTCTTCGCAGCTCTGCTTAGCAGTGCCTATGTGATTTACATCATCACTACCTTTGCACTGCTGATCTCACCGTCTGTTTCCCGGAAAACCCCACAACCTGCCCACACCAGCCTTTTTGTTTTCTTTTACCAAGGACAAAAAAAAAATTATGTTATGTGCATGTATGTTTTGTTTGCATGTATTTTTATACATTGTGTATGTACCTGATGTCCACAGAGGTCAGGAGAGGGCATTGGGCTTCCTAGAACTGGAGTTACAGATAGTTGTGAGCTGCCATGTAGGTACGGGGCACCGAACCTGGTCCTTTGCAAAACAACCAGGCTCCTAACCACTGAGCCATCTCCCCAGTCCTCCTCCTCGCTTCTCTCATACTTATTGGACCTGTGTCATAACTGAGACTGTACACCGGCCACTTCCACTTCCTCTCCCCACCCCATGTCCTCTCTCTCCCTTAGTCACCCAAACAGCCCCTCCCCTCCTTTACAGGATTTCTGAAGAGTCCCATCTCCAGTGCGGTCTCCCTGGCCACTCCAACCAAAATGTCACTTTCCACCAACGCGCTAGACCCTTTCCTCCCAAGGCAGATGTGGCTGGTGACCTTTTCTTCCAGGCAGCGTGCCCACGCCAACTCCTGTGACTGTCCACTATCTACCCCCCAAATGCCCCACTTCCTTGGAGAATGGCCCTGACTCAGAAGCACTGCCTGTTTGGGAAATCATATTTCCTTTTGCGCTCACTCCAGAGTCTGAAATGTAGGGGAGCGTCAAAGGTCGTTTTCTTGCTCAGTGACGTGGTAAGATGAGCAGCGGACTCCGGCTTTATTTGGGTATGATGTGCCAACGAGGAAGAGTAAAGGATCTAATGCTCCAGGAGGCTGTTCTTCCCAGCTGGTGCTGAGATCTGTGTATAAGACAGAGACAGGGATGGCCATAGGCAGGGAAAGTCCGTTTTTTCTTCCTTGTACCCTAAGACACCAAAAAGAGAGCCATTGCCTGACTCATATTCAAGGCTGGCTTTATCCAAAGTTCACTGTGTACCTTTGGGCTGCCTCCAGCAGGGCTGGACCACCATCATCCAGGAATGATCTGGGAATGAAGATGTGGGGTCAGTCCACACGCAGACAGAGCCCACCCAGTCCTGTGGGTTATTGAGGGCTGGTGAGATGGCTGTGTAGATGGATTTGCTGCATGATGCTGTACCCGAGCTCCCCCACTGGAACCCACAGTGGAGGGAGAGAGCAGACTCCCACAGTTCTCCTCTGACCTCTGCACGTAGGCTGTCACTCAATAAAAGTCCACTTTTTTTTGAGACATAGCTTATCTGTGTAACTTTGGAGCCTGTCCTGGAACTCTCTAGACCAGGCTGGCCTTGAACTTACAGAGTTCTGCGTGCCTCTGCCTCTCCAGTGCTGGGATTAAAGGTGGGCACCACCACCACCTGCCAATAACAGTCAACTCTTGATATTGCATTTTAAATGCTAAACTCAACTTCTCTGGGAGGACTTGATGGCTATGACCTCACGCACCCTGCCAAGTCATCCAGACTTCCACAGAGGAGGAAAGAAAGGGACAGGCACCTTCAACAACTTTCCCAGGACCACAAAGCTACTCGCTGGTGGATCTACTCCAAATGTGTGCTTCAGTGAAGGGAAACATACTGAAGGATGCTTGCTGCTTCTCCACTCTGGGGAACCAGGAACACTAGACTCCAACACAGGCGGGTAGCAGTCCTCACTGAGAACAGCAGCACTTAGTCTTCAGCAGACCTGGGAGCCACGTCTGGGATGTACAAGATCGTGCATCCTCCCTTTGATTGGCTCAGCGCGGGTCACATGTCTCCTGGCAAGCCAGGAGAAGAAAAGTAACTCCTGGTAGTTCTCTATTTCTGTATAACAAAATACCCCAAAACTTAGTTTCATAAGAAGAAATTGAATTCTTATCTGATGGCTTCCGTGGCTCAGAGACTTGGAACAGCTTGGCTGAATGTTTCTGGGCTCGAGTCTCCTGTGAGGTCACAGACTGCTCACTGTAGAGGGTCACCTGAAGGCTTGACTGGTCTCCTTGCTGCTTCATC